AAGGATGGGGAAGGAAGGACTTGATGGAAGAGGACCACTTCCAGGCAGGGATTTTTATTGAGCATTCTATGGAAATAAACACAAATCTTTAATGTGTCTAGATAATCACTAGTAGCCTCAAAAAGAGCTGTCACCAGAGCTTTTTTTTTTTTTAAATATTCCTGTCACAATCAGATGTTCTTATTAGTACAAATCAGTTCAACAGATAAATGATCAAAATTTAGACCCTCCTTTGGGTGTATTAGTTGTTTTCTGCCTGTTATTTCTGTTTGTACTAAGATTGGCACGAGGTGTCCTTCGAAATACGTAGCCAGTGACTTAATGGGAAGTGATCTGAGCACCCAGTGATTAAATTAGATAAACCAGAAAAAGGAAGTAGTCCTCTGTAGACAGGCACAGCCATCTTCCATTCCTCTCTACTTTCTGCTGCTCGTCACTAATACCGAGAAAAGTAGCTTAAACATTTCTTTCCATGGAATGGAATTTTCAATGGAGAATTAAGGCAAGATCCTTGACCACATTATCAGCTGAATTTTGAAGCAGCAGCAGCAGCAGCAGCAGAATTTGGTCACCATGATAGTAAAGACAGTGGTTTGGAGATTTGTGTAGACAGAATAGAATTCCTTGGGAAAGTAATTTAGGTTGTTTGATCAACTGAAAATTCATCGTCCTGAAGTTATCTTCTGAATGTTGAATTCCTGTGATTGTAACAAAAACATGATAGGTTTTTAATTCCTTTGTCGAGTTACATAAACCATGGTTATTTCACTACTGAAGCAGTTTAAAACCATTGAGATAGAATTTGATGCCATCTTACTATTATGTCAGGAAACTGTTGACTGCATAATTAAAATTAACTCTATGCTAAGGATGCTATAGGTAATAATTAGCATTGATAAGTGTTCCCCACGTCAACCTTCAAGGCAATCAATCATGTAATGATCCCTCTGGGACAGATAAGGACTCTGAGGATTAGAGGTGTTAGGAACTTGTTCAAACGCTTGCTGTAAAGGAAGGGCTCATCTTCAGAAGCCCAGTCGGGACCACGTGTGCTGACTTGATGGTATCATCTGCTGTAAAACTGTTCCAGAAGACGCGGGAATGGCCCATCTTAGAATGGTGTCATTGGCATACTTGTACCAATTGCCTCTATTACTCTGCTTACCAGAAAGTGCATCTTGAAATGATTTTCTAAAATAATTATCAGAAAAGACTATGAAATGGAAACAATACAGACTCTTTAGCCACATTTTTTATTCTGTGGTTATGCTAAAATAGAAAGGGTAGTGATTAAAAAAAAACAGCAAGTTTTTTTTTTTGCAAAGTATTTCCAAGGATTATAATTGCTTTTAGTACTTGAGGAAAGTAATAATTTAGAGTAGGTAAAAAAATGGGACATAGATTAATAATTGATAAATTTCCCTAACTAGGCATGTCTAGACACACACCACTGTGCATGTCTTCTTTCTTTCTTTCTTTCTTTCTTTCTTTCTTTCTTTCTTTCTTTCTTTCTTTCTTTCTTTCTTTCTTTCTTTCTTTCCTCATAAAATACATCCCGACCACAGCCTCCTCTCCCTTCTGTCCTTCCTCCCCTCTCCCCCGGACCCACTGCTTCATTTCCTTTCAGAAAAAGAGTAGGCCTCCATGTGATATCAATTGGATGTCTAATTCCAGCACTTTCGAGGCAGAGACAGAGGCATGGGGGTGTCTGTGGGTTGGAGCCCATCCTGAGCTACATAGCAAGAAGATTGAAGCTAGCTAGGACTACAAAGGGAGCCCTGGTCTCAAAAAAAAAAGTCATTACCTGTGGATGAGAATTTGACCAGCATATAAAAAACCATGAGTTGCAGTCCCCAGGACAAATTTTATACGTATTTACCTTAAAATTTTTAGCATGTTTCAAGTAAATCATTTGTTTAATAATCATATTTAAAAATGTCACTTACAAGTTGATTTCTATCTGCACCAATCTTCTTACTTGTGTTAATGAGCTTGCTTAGAAGGCAGCAATAGGAATCACTGCAGTCCGAATCTGCGACCTTTCTATCATGAGACCTTGATGGAAGCCATACGTCAGATTGCACCTGTCTGCTTTGTTTAATCTGCGCAGGGCCTAGAGGCAGACATGGAGGAAACTAGAGCAACAGGCCGATGTTTTAGACAGTGGGGTATGTTTTCACAACACAGAGGGAATGGATTTGGCAGCCATCTAGTTTATTCTAACAGTCTTGACAGCTCAGCTAAGTATCAGGATTGCTACAGCCCAGGGCAGTGGCTTGAGTTAAGTAGGCTGATACTCAGTTACAGCTTCTTCAGAAGACAGCATGTAGCGGCTGCTCATCCCTAAGTTTTCACCATTTAAGACAGACGGGGAAAGGGGTGATCACAGGAAAAGGAAGTTGCTAAGGGGAACAGATAGGTAAGCTAATATAAGAAGGGGCAGGATGGTCACATGTACAAAGAGCAGTCTAAAAAGTTTTTAGCTATGGCTAACACTTCAATTTCTTCCAGTCTTTTCCCATGAGCATATCATACGTACATATCAACACTTAATCTTTTAAGATCATATTTATTGTTGAATTTTATACATGTATACCATGTATAAATATATACATATATAAATGTTGATATTATATCCCCTGATCCTATCTTTCAACTTTCATTTGCTATTTCTTTCAAGTTTTGCCATATTTAATTTAATTTGAGTTAGCTCATCAGTTGGCAGTGCTGGAGACTGAACCCCATGGCTGTGTGCATGTTAGGTGGGTGCTCTTTTTCCTAGTACAGTGATTTTTTAAATTCTACTTGCGAAAGAATTTCACTAAGCTTTTAAACCTGGTCTGGAACATTCTGTAGCCCAGGCAGCCTTGAACTATTAATCCTCCTACCATGACCTCCCAGATAGTTATGATTTCAGGCTTCTGTTACCAGGTGCATGTGATGCTCTTTTCATAAAAGACTTTAATGCATGCTATCAATTACTTTAAAATCCTTCAAATTTGTCCTTTAAGTAAAGTTTTCTAATCTTTAATCATAATTGGAAAATTATGTGTATTTTTAAAGACAGGCATAAGTTTTATCCAATGACTTACATCAGAGAGGTGTTTAGCAGAAAATGGCAAACTAGTCACATTAAGGGAAATATTTTGTTGCTGACAGATTATTTACTTAAATTCTGTAACCCAAAGAAGTATGTGCATTACTAGGTAGTTGCTCCCCAAACAATGCTTGGCACTCCATACATAGAGTGGAAGCCCCCAGCAGACAGGTGGTGGTTAGGACTTCCATCGCAGGAGAGCGATATGGAGGAAAACCGCACGTTCTACTAGTTCCTGTCAGAAGAACACCTTTGTGTGGTCCCTCCCCTCTTCATCTGCTGTCTCCCTTGTCACTGCTGTGTCATTTGTTGGAAACAGGCTGTCCTTCAGGGCTGAATTTCTTTAAATGACAAGAATCATGCTACTCCTCAAAATTCTCGAAAGTTGCTGTCTGCTGTAGGATATCTTCAACACTCTGTAGATCAGACTTTATTTGAGCGGTCCTCTCATTGCTGCTGTGAATCCCAGCCAAGTTCACCGGCTCTAGTATGAAACCAGGAGCCGCAATTCTCTCTATCTGATGGACTGCAGATGGTCGCAAGCACCTGCTGTCCAATGGCCATCTTGGCTACACTCGGTGGTCATTTAAGAACTGTTTCTAAAGCTTTTCTAAAGCTTTCCTGATAGCATCCAGCATGCACTGGCAACCTTTAAACATTAGTTTGGGTTACGTTGGCTTCCTCGTTCTTGGACACAGTATAGCTATGTATGTAGACCCACAGAGCCACACGCATTTTGGAAGGAAAATATTCTAAACTTTGTGATTTCAAACGTGGAAAACATTGGTACCCATTCTAATTCTGAAGTTTGATGCATTCTGTTTTTAATGTAAAAGGGAGGTGGCAAAATGATACTAATTCTTTAATTTTCAAAGTAGAAGTCTTGGAATCGTGGAAGGTGGTTTCTCAAGGGAGATTATCTGAGTTAGTTTTAGTAAAATCCTTATAAGGTTTTACTTTCTTCAAAGAAATGGTCATCATGCATTCCTTCACACATGCTTAACTGTGCTTCATGTAGGTTTCATTTTCTTATTATTACCTGGAACCCCAAATAAAACTGTTCAATTTCTTCATGAGGGAATCTGTACAGGAATTTTCCCTTGAACGTGGGCCAGCTAGTCATGTGCAAAAGAAAAAAATCAATCTAAGATTGACTGTGGATTACATCTAACAAACTGCTTCACTCAACTGTGGTGACATCTCTTCTAAAATCTACCCTTTAAGAACGCCACAGGGCCAGTTCTTCTTGGTTTTATACAAATGATAAAAGGTCAACTTCTTTTTATAGCTTGAGGATACCTGGGTCAACCAGAGAAATAATCAGCAAAACTGAACAACCTTCCATGATTCCTAATTTCTGTTTATAAAGCTAGTCTAAATACAATTATATTTCCCATGACAGGTCAGTATAAATACAGTCCTCACCACCCCAAGGAAACATACTTGTCTATGAACACAGGGGACCGTGCAGTGTAGCCAGAGGCATTGTATCTGCTGAGAGTCTCAGATAGACTGAAGGACTCTAGTTCATTGTCAGTATGGTTTTGATTATGTAACTTCACTGAAGTTTCAATTTCTGCTTTTGCAGAATGAATTAAAATATTAATTGCGTTTGAATTAAACAGAAGAAATTAATGCAGAGGTTTTGTACAGACAAGTTTCCCACTCCTACATATGGGCTCCTCTACCAAGCCAACTCATTTCCATCTGGGCTTTTCCTCAATTAAAACTTTTATCAAGTAAAAATTATGGATAAGAAATATTTTTTTTTCAAAATTAGAGCAATCTTTATCAGTTGAAATTGTACTTTATTTGAATTACATCTGATTAGAATTGTAGAAACATTTTATGATATCAACACAGGGTTTTTTATTTTTATTTATTTGTTGATTTTGCCTTGTAGGAGCTTAAGCTGCCAGCGGATCACCTTGCATAAGAACCTGTTCTTTTCATTCGTGTGTAACTCGATTGTGACGATCATCCACCTCACTGCAGTGGCCAACAACCAGGCCTTGGTGGCCACAAATCCTGTAAGTAAAACCCTCGGAGAATTAGCAGGAATATATACAGGATGGGGGTGGTTTCTGGTATGGAAGATGTATGTCCTTAAATTAATACATAGGTAAACGCTGGGTTTGACATGCAGGTTTATCTCAGCGATATTACCGTCTAGGGAGGTAAATTCCCTCAGTACTTCCACAGCCTCAGTTCGCGTCTGGCTATGGAGCCCACTTGCTCAGTCCAATTTAAAAAGCAATAAAAACAACCGAGTTGTTACACGAAAGAAAAACATATGTAATGGGAACTCTAAACTATATTTTGGCATCAGGCTTGCATTAAAAATTCATAAAACCAGGACGATAAGGACTTACATACTTTGTATGTAGAATAAAGTTAAAATCTGTTAAAATAAAATGTTCCAATGCTCTACCAATCATTGTCTCAATAGATACTGATAACATTTTCTTCCTAAAGCCATATGTAAAATGTATGCCAAAATTTATATGTACATAAACTCCCTATGATATTTATATGTAAGCTACACTTGGATTCAAATATATGTATATAGAGCAGAAGTAGTCACACTTTTGGAAGCATCTAGTTTAATATTGCTGCAGATCTCCAATTTTGGATATGGATATGTGTGTGTGTGTGTGTCTGTATTTGTGTGGTGTTTCTGTGTGTTTGTATGATGTGTGTGCTGTATGTGTTTGTGTGGTGTGCATATATGTGTTATGTGTGCATGTGTGGTGTGTATGTGCGTGGTGTGTGTATGCGTGGTATGTGCATATGTGTGTGTGGTATGTGTGTGCATGTGTGCTGTGTGTATGTGGTGTGCATGTGTGCTGTGTGTATGTGATGTGCATGTGGTGTGTGTGTGTGTGTTTGGCGTATGTATGTGCTGTGGGTTTGTGTGTGCGTGTGTGTGGCATATGTATGTGGTGTGTGTGTGCTCTTGGGAACATCAAGCTGTGTTTTCTGGATTATATTATCTAGTTACTGAAATCAGAGAAGGGAAGGAGTTTGAAACAAATGGGTCAATAATAACATGTGTTTTTAGGGTAATTTACACAGCTCTGAAGTTTCGCCCATGGTTTGCACATGTGCATCCGGGTGATTTAATCTTTCTCGTGTTTCTCTCTAAAGTCACCGGGGCAGGAAACAGGCCAGGATAAAATTAGCAATATAAAACATGAGCTGCCATTCTGCCATTTCAGAATGAGTTTCTCTACAACTGAGAGGATTCGTTGTGTAACCCAATGGGAGTTTCTAAATCCTACAATTATTTACAAGGGTATATATTTATTGAACAAAGTATAAGTTAAAGTACAGTGAATTTATTACTTAGAAAAGCATATTTTTGATTATAGCAACAGTGCTCTCTACAGAAATATTTATTGAAGTATAGTCTAAATGCTTTCTCCCATAATAATTTATATTAATTTTTTTTTTTTTTGGTTTTCTGTGTGGTTCTGACTGTCCTGGAACTTGCTCTGTAGACCAGGCTGGCCTCAAACTCAGATATCTGCCTGCCTCTGCCTCCCGAGTGCTGGGATTAAAGTGACATCAGAATCAAATTGAATTAGAAAAGAATGTAATACCTATATAACTATTAAAGGTTAAATACATCATAAATATACTCAAATTGTGCAGTTAAAATTATTTTATCTTTAAGAGACTTGGTTGTCATCTTGTAAAGCACATACTGCATTGTTTTAAAATTTTGTAAAAGAATTTGCCACACAGATGAGGAAATGACATTACAAATATCCTTAAGGAAGGTGTTATTACATGTAATAATGAAAGTAAAATTATAGACTTCTGTTTAGGATGCAGACCTGGTTAATATATGAATATTTGCAAATTATTTCCCTTTTCTGCTACTAGTTTTTTTATCTGTACAATGTGTGGCCATTTTCAGTGCGTGCCTCGCAGAAATATTCAAGAATTTGGTAACTGTGTATAAACGACAATTTTCCAAAGGCTTTAGGATGACATTCATGCACTTGCTATTTTCTCTAATCCGTGATAACTCTAATTGTCCAGACCCTTTATGATGACATTCATGCACTTGCTATTTTCTCTAATCCGTGATAACTCTAAACGTCTTTCCAGTGCTTTAGCTTCATTAGAGAATTACTCAGTAAGTTTTATTTATTCCTGCGGAATGAAGGTTACAAAATTTTCCAAGTATTTGGACATGTTTAATTAAGTGCAGATAAGGCTATCAAAGTTTTTCTAACTGAAAGCCACAGCCACAATCAAAGAGATTGCAGTTGTGGATGGGTGGACAGTTTATGTTCGTTGTGCAATAATCGGAACACGTTAGAAAAGCAGACACCCTTGAGCAAAGGGAGATTTTGGACTTTGCAGAACTGTTTGGAATACCACATGGTCCTTATGAACTGATAAAGTTCATGGTTAATAACTTTAGGGCCATCACGGGGTGGTGTTCAGAAGAGCACTGTGCGACCCAGACACCCTCGTGCGCACAGTTGTGTGGTGGGGAAAGAAGAAACCCATGGTTTCTGAAATAAACTTGGACAAACGCTTCTCATGTGGATTTCATAGACTAAGAACCACTTTTCCCCTCATCACAGGTGAGCTGTAAAGTGTCTCAGTTCATCCATCTCTACCTGATGGGCTGTAACTACTTCTGGATGCTCTGTGAAGGCATTTACCTGCACACGCTCATCGTGGTGGCCGTGTTTGCAGAGAAGCAGCACTTGATGTGGTATTACTTTCTTGGCTGGGGTAGGTGCCACTGTCATGACATTTGTAACCAACTGATTGAGAAGGCTTTCAGCTCTCAGGCAGTGTGACTTATTACCAATCACTCTTAACATGTAAACCGAGGCTTTCCTCGCTGTGATGGATTGAACTATGGAAAGCCAAGTGTCACAGACTCATGGTTTCTCTAGTCTCATTTTGATGAATAATACATCTTTTTAAACATTGATATTCCAGCGACAAGCTTATCTTAGTTGAATGACTAAAACAATAGAATTAAAATTATGAATTAAGGATATGGTCTTCTGAATTTCCTTTGTCGCGTGTAAAAAGAGGTCACTGGTGTTTTAAACTCCACCAAGGAACCTTTGAGATTGACCTCCCTCCCTCCCTCCCTCCCTCCCTCCCTCCCTCTTTTTATGGTCCGCTTTCCCTAATTATAATCCCCTCCGCACGAATCTGTTGCATGGTGTCTTTCCCANGATTTTTTTGGCTTAGAACTTGCTATTAGATTAGGAAGGCTTTGAACTTGCAGGGAATCATCTGAGTGCCCTGAAAAGATTGTAGACTGTCATTTTATAGTTAAACTAGGGATTTCAATAATTAAATTAAAGTATGCAAAAGATCTACTTCTTTCACATAATCTCTTGGCATTGTGTGTGCTTCCTAAGGTCATTGGAATAAGGTATAAGAACATAATATGTAGAAAATTGATTCATGTAGGACAAGTTTTCAGAGATAAAGCAGTCATTTTACTTTTTAATTTTCTACCTAGATGGAGACGTAGATACTGAGATAGATTTAAAGACATATGCCTGTTCACATACCCAATTGTTAGCACATTCTGGTTGTCTTTATCAAACAGTTCTTTACTTCAGTTTTTTCAAGATCTTATTTAGAAGCTTCAAAACACACAGAAATCTTGGTATAAGAAACATATCTTCTCTTTTTTCCTCCAAAACATAGATTACTGTGAAATCTGTCTTTTACAATAGAAATGATTATCAGTCCCAAAAATTTCCAACATTGATATTACATATTAGCCAAGTTCATCCCACAGAAAGTAAATGAATACAGAAATTCTTTTAAGGATTATGACTTAGCAGCATGCTATGGTTTTAATCTCTGGAATCTTACGGATTCGGAATGATGTATGTCTAGCCTGACAGTTTGTCACATTTACTGCTTGGCCATCACACAGCAGATGTAGGTGGCTCATTATTTTTGGCTCCTGAAGTGTCTCCAGATGTCATATTTGTGCCTTCTTTGAGAAGCCTCACCTGTAGGGAAAGACATCCATTCATCTGCGTCTGCTTCTTTGTAGGGTTTCCGCTGCTCCCCGCCTGCATCCACGCCATGGCCAGAAGCATGTATTACAATGACAAGTAAGATGGCTTCCATTTGTGATTTCTATTAGAACTAAGAAAATGAAAACCTTCTGTTTATACATTATTGTCTTTACTTTATCCCCTAGTTGCTGGATCAGCTCAGACACCCACCTCCTCTACATCATCCACGGACCAATCTGTGCTGCTCTACTGGTACGTAACTAAAACCCTCCGTTTCTCACTGTTGCTCTCCTGCTGTCCTTCTGAGGTCAGTGAGCTCCCACTAGCTCAGGTTAGCCTTTTCTGTGAGTATCCCCATCATGGCCTTGACTCCTTTGCTCATATTATTGCTCCTCTCTCTCTTCGAATGGACTCTGGGAGCTCGGTCTAGTGCTTAGCTGTGGACCTCTGCATCTGCTTCCATCAGTTGCTGGGTGAAGGTTCTAGGATGACAATTAAGGTAGTCATCAATCTGATTACAGGGGAAGGCCATCCTCTCCACTACTGCTTAGGGTCTTATCTGGGGTCATCCTTGTGGATTTCTGGGAATTTCCCTAGTGCCAGGTTTCTTGCTAGCCCCATAATGGCACTCTCAATTAAATATTTCTTTCCTTGTTCTCACTCTCTGTCTGACAGAGAACATGGATGAAAGGGATGGGAGGGTATAGATGAATTGAAATTAACGCTTCATAAGACAGGTTCTTAACTACTGAGTCAAATTCCATTTTCAGATTCCTATGAATCTCTTCAAAGACAATGCGAACCCTTTAGGAAAGTTGCTACAGGACAATAACTAGTAAATTGTAGTTGTGGAAAGTCATTTACAATTACGGCAAGTCAAAACTTCATCGTCTAGGTTGAGTGTCAGCTGGTTCAGCTGTATAATCATAAAGAAAATGACAGTCTTGTTTCAGGTACTTGTTATAGAGATGTGTATATAAAAGGGTGTTGTGGCAATGATCACAAAAAAAGAAGAGAAACCAAATATGTACAGAGTCATGATGGCACAGTATGCTTGGGGAGTCTACACAGTACGGGTTCCGGTGGAAAGGCAATTCTTTCAAATTTAATGTTTGTTGAGGCTGGAGAGTTGGCTTTATAGAGAAGAACACTTGTTGGTCTTCCAGACGACCTGTGTTCTGTTCCCAGCTGCATATTGGGCAGCTCACAGCTGCCTGTATTTCCAGTTCCAGGGATCTGACTTCTTCCTCTGGCCTCCATGGGAACACACACACACACACACACACACACACACACACACACACACACCAATACATCCTTAAAACCTAACATTACTTAAGGACAATTCCTTTTTCTAAAAGTGTTTATGATCTTGACTTGGAATTGTAGACAAGCCTTAATATTATGTAGAAAATGAACTAAGAAAATGACCCAAATATTTCCTGGATGAATGTGCTCCATAGTGATTCTACCATAATTTTATTTTTCTAAAAGTTAATTTCACCAAAATTCATGTACCTGTAAACTGAAAAGCATTACTCTAGAAATACACACTATTAATACGTGTATTATTATGCAAAATGTGCCTTCAGTCCTTATACATGAAATAATCCAAGTTTTATGAAATCTCATAAAACAGTTCTCATGAAGCATCTTAGCACTAAACATGAACTAACTTTTAGATGCTCTTTTATTTTTTTTAGGTCAATCTCTTTTTCCTATTAAATATTGTACGCGTTCTCATCACCAAGTTGAAAGTTACTCACCAAGCGGAGTCCAATCTTTACATGAAAGCCGTGAGAGCTACCCTCATCTTGGTCCCGCTCCTTGGCATTGAATTTGTGCTCATTCCCTGGAGGCCTGAAGGAAAGGTTGCCGAGGAGGTGTATGACTATGTCATGCACATCCTGATGCACTATCAGGTAAGGGACTCCCACCAATCAAGAGCCAGCTTGGCAAGTTTTGTGTTGAGTTTGCACGGAGGCCTGGTTTTCCTCCTGGCTGCTTCTGTAACAGTGGATTATAAATACAGGAACGCTTTTTGATTCTCGTGCCTCCTCTTGGGCCCTTTTCCTTCTGTTGGTTTGTCTTGTCTGACGTGGGTGTGATAGTGTTTGTTTTATTATATTTTATTTTGTTATATTTTTAAGAAATGAGTGAATGAATGGGTGAAAAACCTTACCACAGGAGTAAAGAGTGACAACTGAACTGTCAGGTGTATCTGCTGGGAGGACAAATATAAGTTTTCTTTAATGGAATGACACTGGGTCTATCAGCCACGCTAGACAGAACCAGGAGTAGTTGGCCAACTTATAATTGACTTTCCCAGGCTTTGTGTGTGTGTGTGTGTGTGTGTGTGTGTGTGTGCGCGTGCACACACACACACATGCTTTTGTTTGGTTACAGTTTGGTGTTTTTAGTTTTTTTTTTTATTATTTGTTTCTTTTTCCCTTTTGGTTTTATTTTGTTTTCTTGGTTTTAGGGGGTTTTGTTTTTTATTGAGTATTTGTTTTTTGAGAGAGCTTAGAGTTGGGTGGGTAGGGTGAGGGAGAGGGGAAGATCTGGAAGGACTTGGTGGAGGGGAAAGATATGACCAAAATATCTTCAATTTAAAATTGTTTTTAAATAATAAAGAATATAATGAAAATAGATCCAGATAATTCTGTTTTCTTTTTAAACAGGGTCTTCTGGTGTCTACAATTTTCTGCTTTTTTAATGGAGAGGTATGATTATTGATTTTTAATACTTTTATAATTTAAACTTTTTTTCTTTTAAAACAAGATGGAATTATAAACTCCTCCCAAAACAACTATTTCAAGTACTGATTTTATCACAGAAAAAAATAATAACATAAAATTATTTTTTTGTAGTCCCAAATTTTCATCTCAAAATGTAGGTAATATTAGAGTTGAGAAATAGGGAAAAGTTAGACTTACTTCAAAATACTCCAAGAACGAGTTAGCCTTTTGATCTATCATGAGAATGTACTAAGTCTGGATGCTGCTTTGGGGCCAGTGCTGGGCAATCTTTAGCTTCATAGAGCCCACACTGAGACAGAGTCTACTCATTTCCCCCTTTGTCCTTTTCAGTAGACTCAAGAATGTAACCTTTTGCTATGAGAAACACCATGACTAAAGGAACTTGGAGAGGAGACGGTTTACTTGGCTTATATTTCTACATCACAGTATGTCATTGAAGGAAGTCAGCACAAGAACTCAACAGGGCAGAAACCTGGAGGCAGGAGTTGACGCAAAGGCCATGGAGGAATGCTGTTTTTTGGCTTGCTCCTAGTGGTTTGCTCAGCCTCCTTTTTTTCTTTTCTTTTTTTTTAAATATAATTTTTTATTGAAAAAAATTTCCGCCTCCTCCCCGCCTCCCATTTCCCTCCCCGTCCCCCTTTCCCCCCCTCCCTCTCCTCTCCCCCTCCCCCCACTCCTCTCCCCCTCCCTCTCCAGTCTGAGGGACAGTCAGGGTTCCCTGCCCTGTGGAAAGTCCAAAGTCCTCCC